TGGAGCGCTGTGCTGCTGCCAGGCCGCTGCGGTGAAGACAGAGTCATAAGAATAAGCTTCACCTCATCTGGCTGTGCAGGAGGGTTGCAGAGTAAAGAGTGAATTTAAAGACAGAAAGAAGCTCTGAGTTGTTGCCAAAGAGGACATAAGGTTTGGTTTAAATGGTCCAGTTGGCATTAGAACAGAGAGCAGCGTACCACCTGATTGATGGCGGTAACCTTCACCGTTCCAGATCAATAGCTTAGCGCTCTCCCTCCATCAGACAAATTAAGCCGTCAGACACAGCCGAATCCACAGCAACATCATATTTAGTCTTTAGATTATGGCAAACCCCTCAAACAATACCTCCCTGAAGCCCCTTATTCCAGCATTATCGACATCCACGGATGGATTTTAAAGCAGCGTTAATCTGAGCTGCTTAAACCTCACACACACACTCTTAAGAGCTTCCCATCAGTATTCAGCCCGCTCGAGCACATTCACTGCAGTGACTGAATCTGACCCTAAAAATCTGGATAAAACGAGGCAGATCTATTTAACATCTTTTAAACCTTTTGTTCGATATCATCTAAATTAAAGCAAACATCTAAAATACATTTCTGGTGTTTACAGAAAACTTTTAAATAAAATGCATTAAATATGACAAACAATTCTATTATATCAACCTGTAAAGTTGACAACTGAGATGGAGAACCCTGCAAAGCTTTAGTGCTGACATGTATTTAAAGAGGTGGTATTCTGCTCATTTTCAGGTTCAAAATCTTAATTAGGGGTTGTACCAGAACAGGTTTACATGGTTTCATTTTCAAAAAACACCATATTATATATACCCCTACTTGACTGTTTAAATGACGTCAAAGCCTGGTTAGCCCAAAATTTCTTAAAACTAAATGAGAGTAAAACAGAGATCATGCAGTTTGGCCCCACTAACTGCATGATAGACTTGGGGCCCTCAATGACTTTGTGCATCCTGTTTTAACTAACCTTGGGGTCAAAATAGTGATTTTAAACTTGACAAACAAATAAATGCAGTTGTGAAATCTAGTTTTTATCATCTTCGCCTTTTAGCTAAAGTTAAACCGTTTTTGTCTTTTAACAGTTTTGAACAAGCTACACATGCTTTTATTTCTTCTCGTTTAGACTACTGTAATATACTTTATATCGGTATAAATCACAACGCAAGTTCACGCTTACAGTTAGTCCAAAATTCTGCAGCACGTCTTTTAACAGGAAGCAAAAAGCGCGCTCATATAACTCCAGTTCTTGCCTCATGGCACTGGCTTCCTGTTCGTTTTAGGATTGATTTCAAGATTTTATTGTTTGTTTTTAAAGCTGTGAATGGACCGGCCCCAACATACATCTCGGACCTCATCCAAATTTATACGCCAGCGCGGTCACTGAGGTCAGAGGGCCAGCTCTTAAAACTCGGGGGGACAGGGCCTTTTCTGTGGCTGGACCTAACCTCTGGAACGCTTGCTCCTCCATGTCCGAACAGCCCCTACAGTTGAGTTTTTTAAGTCTCATTTAAAGACACATTTTTATTCTTTGGCTTTTAACTCCGCGTGAGTTGTATGGTCCTCTGATGTCTTTTATTGTTTTACTGTATTTTAGTATTTAAAGCTGATGCCCTTATTTTGTTTTTACAAAATGTTATATTAATTGTTTTGTATGTTTGAGTCTTCTGTGCAGCACTTTGGTAACTTTGTGTTTGTAAAATGTGCTATAGAAATAAAGTGGATTGGATTGGATATTTTTCTCATACTGCACATTGCTGCAGCTCCTCTTTTCACCCTGTGTGTGGGACGCTCTGCTCTTGAGCTACAGAGTGATGCATCTTACTTGTACAAAATCTTTGTTGGGAGTTGCACATGCGTAGTTCCCAGGTAAGGACTACTAGCCAATCAGAAGCAGAGAAGGGCGGGTCGTAAGAAACAAGGTTGTGTGATCCAAATCAAAGCTGCTTCAGACTGAGACCGTAACCTAGCAGATGGTAGAAGTTACTCACAACGTCATTGTTCCACATCTTACCATCAGGACTAAACGTTGAACTGCTGCCGGTGTTCTGACGATCTTTGCTGCCTTGCCGAAAAATGCTCCCTTTGGGCTTTTTCACTTTGCAAACCTGTTACATGGACAAAAAAGATGTAAACTCAATAAAGGAGAGGGGAAAAGCCAAAAAGCAGAATACCAGCTCTTTAATAAAGTTTGGGTTGAAGGGTTGAGGCAGGAGTTCGGACGCCTACGTTGTTTACGTCCACATGCTGTTGCTGAATTTACGCATACCTTGATTTGTTACTTCTATCCACAGTCGATCTGGGGCCCCATCAGCAGACTGTGCATCACCTCACCTGTGAGCCCATAACCAATGGTGCAACATTGGTTTAATGCTTTCATCATGTTCCCGGCTACTTAAAAGCAGAACATTATCATTAAGATGGCTATCGTGCTTAGTTTAATCACTGCCAGAAAAGTGGGGATCATCCATCAGTAAACGCCGCCTTACTCTCCGCATGCGTCATCACATGCTGTGGTATTCAATTAGGGATGTGAGCTATACTTTGAAGAAAAGGACTGATAGATCTATGGCACATTATTTATAACACTATCAACTAATAACGCTCCATTTGTAACTTCAATCACAACATGTATAAATATGAAATATGTATATTTTAATAAGTCACACAGAAAGAAGGATTTCAGAAAGTTAGGGCGACATGCTGTTTCGCCCAAATACTAAGACAACAGGGACCCGCTCTTAAAAACACTGCTTCATAGAGCAACTAGTGATCACAAACTCTACAGGGAACCTTTAACTACTGCATGTTAAGAACATCTGAAACTAATAACTCTGCACAGACCAGTTTCCTTCACAGTGTACCTTAATAAACCTCCACTGTTCAGTAATAGTACACTAAAGATGTTCCTCGTCATCACACGTTTCTATTAATTTATTTTTAAAATATATATTTTTGGATCATCAGAAAATGGTTTGAGTTCCAGAGATGAGAAATAAACTACAAAGAAATTTACAACCGTAATAATGAGCCTAGCTAGCTTAGTTGATGGCGCGATGGATAAGACGCCTGCCTTTGGTGTGAGCGACCCGGGTTCAATCCCCCCACTGTGACCCATCCACCATTGTGTCCCTGAGCAAGACACTTAACCCCTCGTTGCTCCTCTGACATGTATAGCAACTGTAAGTCGCTTTGGATAAAAGCGTCAGCTAAATGAATAAATGATGTAGCCCCGCCCTAAAGCCTCCCCTGCTTCCTGGTCTCTGTTCCTCTAAATGGGACCATAATTTACTAAATGAACATCATGCTGTGTTGAAGAAGACTTGAAACTAGCGACTGAGACCAGAAACTCATCAGGAAAGTGTTTACTGAGGGAATAAATCAGCTGACAAGTAGAAACATTTTCTCCCAATCACACTTCTTTCTGCAGCCGCTGGAGTCGCCCCCTGCTGGCGGCTGGAGAGGACGCAGGTTTAAGTCGCCCCCTGCTGGCGGCTGGAGAGGACGCAGGCTCAAGGTGCTTCAGCACTGGCTTCACTTGTAAGAGCCGGAGGTTGCCGCTTGAATCCACCGCTCGAAGCCCCAGCGTCCAACACAAGCCCACCTGGCGGCTCTTCTCATCGACTATTAAGGGGCAGGCCTACTGTTTAGGTACATCACACACATAAAAAATGAGAAACCCAATTAGTTTCAGTGACTTCAAGAGTGAGGCTAGATGTGCTGTCTGTACACGAATTGAAAGGGATTTAAAGAGAAACTGTGCATGCTGAACATCACGCTGAAGAGCAGAAGCTACACATGCACATCATCTTACAGGAGTTCTGAAAATAATGCAAAAGAAGGCGTTTGATGGTGAAAACCGTGCGCCCCGTGGTGCACTGCTGGCTGTTTAGTCTGCTGTGGTGTTTTATGTGTTGCTGCTCATCTCATTAAAGCTTATACACACATGGGAGCAAATATGGGAGCAAGCATCTGTAAGCATTGCTGTTACGAAAGGTTGTGCACCAGTCTTTGTTCTTTTATGTTAGATCTCCATCACAGAGCAGCTGCTCTTCCTTCGGTCTCCACTAGAAACATTATCAAAGCATACATGAAACCAGAACAACCCAAACACTGGGGGAGGAAGCTTTTCACTGAGGAAATGTTGCCACAAACGTGCAAAATGTCTTCACACTGAACGCACCCCGGCTCATCACCTTGCCGTGCCTGCAGCACCATGAAATGGTAGACATCCCACAGCGTCTGAACATCACTGTGTGAAATTGGCTTCCAGTCTAATAACGGAGAACAGATCCCATTTCTGTGTCGGTGTGTTATTGTGAGGAAAGTTGCATACTGCTGCTTTGAAAACAAAAGAGATACAGTGAAACAACAAGTCTATTTAAAGGTGGAGGAGCGGAGGGCTATACAATGTGCTTTACATCGAAGAAAAACATCTGTAGTTGACAGCATGCCTCCTTATTTCCCTGCTCATAGTAGCGTGTTTGCTTATTAGCTAATATGATGCGTGTTCACGCCGTTTCTCTGGGAAGCCACTTATTTCGACACGACTTCCCAATAACCGGAGAAGACACAAGCTTTTCCAAGGCACGGCGGAGTTTTACCGCCCTAACGAGAAACGTGGACATGAAGTATTCAGCTGGAATTAAGAAACAGCCATAATTTACAGACGGTGGAAGAAAGCCAGACAGCGGAGAGTAATAAAGACAAAAGGCAGAGAGGTGGAGGTGAAGGCACACGTACAGTTCATAGTGATGAAAAAACTGCAGAGGAAAAGAGAAAAAAAAATATGCATCACGGAGCAAAGCTGTCAAAGAGGTGACCTTGAGAAAATAAAGAGTGGGTGGATGGTGAAAAAGGTGAATAGAGTGATAGAGACTCTTGTACAACTAGAACAGATGGGGGCTGAGCTGAGGTGGGACCCAGTGCTTGAACAGGGGCTGACATTCATCGGTATTGAGGACAGCACCCTCATGAGTAGCCTACCTGCTCCCCTCCTCCATTACTTCCCTTCCTCCTCCTCATCCTTCCCCAACAGCTGGCAGTTATAAATTTGTCTGCAGAGACAAGAGTGAAAAGGAACACATTTAAAAAGAAAATTGTGCCATTCTCCACTTCCTGTAAAGCTTTTTCCATCCGCCCTCCTCCACATTATCCTTGAATTTCCTCCTCGTATGACTCTGCAGTTAAGAGTTTTTTCACCGTTACTCACCGATGAGGTCACTTTCTGATGACATCTTAAGTTAGGGGAAAAGTTCAGACTTATTGCCGTTGGCAGACCCACCACAAACTTTATTGTTCTCGCTGTTGTAATGATTCAAACGCAGCTGGTCAGGGCAGATATTTATGTAAGGAGATACCTGAGGACAAGGAAATGTCTTCCTTACAGAAAGCACACAGCACTAAATCCACAGCGACATACTGTAGGCTTAGGTTGTGCTGTATGTGCACGCAGTTTTAAAAAGACCACCAGCCAATGCAACTGCAAAACAGAAAGATAATAAAAGCAACACTTAAAGTATATAATGTGTACGTTTAATTATATACCTACATTCTTTACTAACATGCCTCGGTGTCATTATTCCATGTTGTGAGAAGTCAACCAAAGCACCACAATATTCTGTGTGTATTTTTGGCTTCAGTGTAGGAATAAAATCCTGGCTACCAGATAATTATAATCATTGCTCTCTCACAATAACCCTCTGCTGCAGCAAACAAAGAAGGAAAATTAAATCACATTTCTCCCCCTTGGTTTGCTATTTTTCACGAAGCAAAAACAAAAGATTTCTTCATCTCTGCCACTAATTCTACTCTCTCCTCATCTTCCTTTCATCTCTCTGTCCTCTTCATCCTCTGGGGTTTCTATGTACAGCTTCATAATTGCCGCTCACGCCAACGAGGATTCCAGTTATTGCGTCAGATGAATAGTTTGCTTTGAAAAGGACTGACCCCTGTAATCAATCTGGATCAGATCCTTTATGTTTATACGGGCACTGATCGCAGTGGAATTTGTCAGGGTTTTAGCTGAAGTCATGAGGTTTCCCAGCACAACCTCATCTCCCTAACTGGAGTAGACCACAAGAAAGCCTGTCCAATTCTCTCTTTTATTTATTCAGTTCATTTAAAGAAACACATGAGGACAAGTTAAAAAAGGACGTGACCTGGTTGGCAGCAGCTCATTATGGCAGTGCTGTCATGCACCTGCTTTTATCTAGTTATCTAAATCAGAATAAGGGCGACACATCGGCTACACTTCATGTTCTTTAGCTGCTCAGTCCACCAAGAGGTCGTGCTGCTGGGCCCCCTATTTCTACATTTTGAAGTAAAAAAACTGACTTATTGCTTTCTTTACGAGAGCGAGATGAGAAGTTGTTACCAGTCTCATGTCTGCACGCTGAGTACGGAGCTGGAGCTGGCAGTCGGGTAGCGTAGCTTAGCATTAAGCCTGGAAACCAGGGGAAGGCATTGTAGCCTGATTTTGTTTCCTTGCTATGGAGCTAGGTGGCCGTTTCCACTGTGTTTCCAGAGTTAAGCTAAGCTAACTGTCTGCTGGCTCTAGCTGCACAGTTTTTCATCATATCAACCTGGTTTGTAAGCTCAAGATACTGAAGAAGAAAATACCTGGTGATGGCCACTTTTCTTCCCATATTAGATTATGGTGATCTGAGATATATATATTAGTGCTTCTGCCCAGAACCTACAGAAACTGGACACTGTGTGTCATTGTGCATTGCGGTTTTTCACTGGCTGTAGTTATAGGACACATCATTGTAGCCTTTAAGTAAGTAAGTAAAATTGAAATTAATTTAATAAAATATTTTATTATAATACATTCATAAGGGTTCAGATTAGGGGTGTGACGATACACTTAGCTCACATGCAAAATTCACAATATTGGGTTCACAAGAACAAGACAAGAAGATATTTTAGCAGTATTTGATGAAATATTCAATGCTGAAATATATTTAAATGGGGGTCTGGGGGTCCCCTAGAAAATTTTGAGCACTTAATTTCCTGCATTCTGGAGACATTTTCTGCACCAATTTATGGTTGAATTGTCTTTATTTAAATAAAGGGATTCAGTTTATTTAGCTTAAACTTTTTTGAACAATGCACATTTGTTTCTTTTATTGTTTTCTTATTGTGCAAATAAACCTTTCTCAAAGTATTTCATTTGTTTTTTTTAACATTTCTTGTTGCAAGTCATTTTTCAGAACATATTTAGCAAATGCTTTAAAAATAGTGGAGACATGTCCCAAGTGTCCACAGCGTAAATGACACCTATGAAATGAATACAATATTTGTGCCCTAAGAACTCTTCAAAAATACAAAAAAGTTCATTTATTTCAGTAATTCAACTGAAAAGGTGAAACTAATATATTATATAGACTCATTACATGCAAAGTGAGATATTTCAAACTTTTATTTTATATAATTTCGTGGGCTTCAAATGTCGTACTCCTCTTGTCAAGCCGCTCCTGAACAACAAACAACATCAGAAGCGTCTTACCTGGGCTAAAGAAAAAAAGAACTGGTTTGTTTCTCAGTGGTCCAAAGTCCTCTTTCTGATGAGAGCAAATTTTGCGTTTGGAAACCAAGGTCCCAGAGTCTGGAGGAAGAACGGAGAGGCACACAATCCAAGATGCTTGAAGTCCAGTGTGAAGTTTCCACAGTCTGTGTTGGTTTGGGGAGCCATGTCCTCTGCTGGTGTTGGTCCACTGTGCTTTATTAAGTCCAGAGTCAGCGCAGCCGTCTACCAGGACATTTTAGAGCACTTTATGCTTCCTTCAGCAGACGAGCTTTATGGAGATGCTAACTTCATTTTCCAGCAGGAACTGGCACCTGCCCGCACTGCCAAAAGTACCAAAACCTGGTTCAATGACCATGGGATTACTGTGCTTGATTGGCCAGCAGACTCGCCTGACCTGAACCCCAGAGAGAATCTATGGGGCATTGCCAAGAGAAAGATAAAAGTCATGAGAGCGAACAATGCAGAAGAGCTGAAGGCCGCTATTGAAGCATCCTGGTCTTCCATAACACCTCAGCAGGGCCACAGGCTGATAGCATCCATGCCACGCCGCACTGAGGCAGTAATTCATGCAAAAAGGGCCCAAACCAAGTACTGGGTACATATGCATGATTATACTTCTCAGAGGGATCACATTTCTGTATTTAAAATCCTTTTTTTTATTGATTTCATGTAATATTCAGATTTAGAATTTGGGGTTTTCATAAGCTGTACGCAATAATCATCGAAATTATATCAAATAAAGGCTTGAAATATCTCACTTTGCATGTAATGAGTCTATAGAATATATTAGTTTCACCTTTTCAGTTGAATTACTGAAATAAATGAACTTTTTCACGATATTCTAATTTTCTGAGATGCACCTGTGTCATTCACTGACCAGTAACCTGCTGCGGGTCTTCCAGCTCCGCTGTTCCATTAGCGCTCGCCACAGTGTGACTGGCTCACACGCCGATCTGGCTTTCTGAATGTCAGACACCTGCCCATTCTGAGTCGTCGAGCTAATGTTAGTAGCACGTCAGAGCTGGATGCCAGAGCTACTGCCGTATAACATCAGAGTCACACCAAACAGAGTAAATTATTAAGTCTCACACACACAGAGTATTCATTTATGAAGTTACGGCATTAATTAAATCCTACGAAAGGACCTTGGTAAAGGAAATTTAATACTTTGGTAATGAAATTTAAGACTTTTAAGGCCTTATTTTTGGAATATGCTCCGTATTTGTATAGCGCCTTTCTAGTCTTTTCTAGACCACTCAAAGCGCTTTTACACTACATCTGCATTCACACACATTCATACACCTGTTCCACCAGGGGCAATTCGGAGTTCAGCATCTTGCCCAAAGACACTTCGACATGCAGCGGGGGAGGAGCCGGGGATTGAACCTTCCGATTAACCCGCTCTACCTCCTGAGCCACAGCCGAATATGAAATTTAAGACTTTTTTAATACGCTGGTACCCCGATAAAGCTCAATGGGCCTCTCTCTATGCAAGAAGGTATACTCACAGGCTGTGTTTTATCTATAAGGCACTTCCTGGACTAGCTCTTACCTATCTGAGTATCTTTTTAACAAGTACTCAAGGCCATTATGGATTACGTTCGAAGGACGTCTTACACTTGTTGGTCCCCCCTGTCCGAACAGAATTAAGTAAACAAGCCTTCATGTTTGCTGCACCTTCTGCTTGGAATCTGCTTCACCACTCATTAAAACTGACCACCTTTATTTCTTATAGACAGTTTGTTTAAATTCTGAAGCATATGGAGCAGGTGAACATTAGTCAGTGTCTTTGTTTATGAAGTTCTAGTCTAACTTATTCACACAGGGGCTTGTGTTATTTATGTGTATATACTTGCTGTCTTTTATATGTTGGAAACTTGTCCTTTATGTTCTTTTATGCTGCGTCTTGGCCAGGTCTCTCTTGCAAAAAAGATTTTAATTCAATTAAACTCACCTGGTTAAATAAAGGAAAAATAAATCATGTTTTAAAGGTTCAGTGTGTATGTTTTAGTGGCATCTAGTGGTAAGGGCTGTGAATTGCAACCAACTGCTCACAGTGCATTCAGGTGCTCCTCGGATGGTCCCATTTTCCATTATTTCTAATGGCAAAATTCCACATTAATAACTGTAAATTCAGCAGTAACTGAATTTGTACCATTTCTCAATTTAATTTCAAATGCACATACAAAAAGGCTGTGAAAACTGTCAACATATGGTCTTTTAAAATCTTTACAGACTACAACTGGAAAAGGTTTTATTATTTGTCTTCTTATATACAGTATATTATGTTGCATTTCTGTCACTATCAGTTCCTCCTAAATATCACACACTTGACCAGAAACAAATGATAATTCTATAAATTCTGCAAAAAAGGGAGAAAGCGTATTTCACCAAATATGGAACTATTCATTTCAGTCAGTCATAAAAAATGTAAATGTAGAGGCAAATATCTTTCATGTGGTTCTGTCAATTAGAAATACCGTGGACTGCCTGAAGTCTGTGATGTAATGAAATAATAACTATTTG